ACTAGGACTGAAGCGAGATAGCCCTCGAGGAGGCTGCTCTCAGTTACAAGTCTCACGTGGTCCCATTACAATCTTAGTGGCACCTCGTCCACCAAGAACAGTTACACCTCAATCATTAGTCCAACCTCCTCCAATCACCATGTCTGATCACAAGGTATTCACAAACACTTGGCCCGGTTTCAACCCCCAACTCTCTTGGTCCCAATTTGGGTCCCAAGTATCTCCATGTCGTCGCCGTACCACCAGATGATCCTAAAAAAAAAAACAGGATTGCGGCGTTTGTCCAAACACAAAAGCACCTCCACTTTTAATGTTGTAGGGCTCGCACCCTAGCATCCACACCACCAAATACTGTGCCACAAAAAAATCATTGCCGTAGCCTCAGTATATTGCCAGCAACTACCAGTCTCGCCGTACAATCTCGGCAACAACTTCCCTTAAAAAGCTGCCAAATATCGTGCAGCAAAAATATCATGTTGTTCCATACAAAAAAATTCACAGCACCTCCTTCAAAAAACACTACGGCGCAATCTTCCCACTCAAGTATCACTGCGCAGGCCGTCTAGCAGCACCTCCCCGTCGTGCGCCTATTGCTGCATGGTCCAAGCTTGCCGCAACCTCACAACTACAGCTCCCCCACAAGCCTGCAGCACAAACACAAAGGTGGGGTAAGAAACTCCCAACCTTTAGCTATGACTGCCTCTCTCCTCCTCCAAGTGTTTTTTCAAACCTCCAGCACTTCGCCTCACTACTCCAGCAGGCAGCCAGCCAGCATCTACTTCAAGTAAAATGCCCCAGCAACATTGCCACAAGTACGAGGCTGTTGGATGGCAAGCTGACTTTTATAGCTAGCCGAAGGCATGTGGGCAGCTGCTTTGCCCACAGACAGACAAAAATTCGCCAGTGCTTCCGACCCTTGATCTAAATCAATCGCCAGAAGCTCAGTGTCTTGGTTTTCCCCTAGGGGAACCAAGGTCATTAATTTCAGGAGTACCTGGTCGTTTTCCCAGGCCAGGTGCTCCTGGAAATGGCTGTACTCAGCCATTTTAGGGCTGCTTGTTCAAATAAACAGGCGCAGTCCCATCAGTCCCTAGAATCTTATGGGGACTGCACCTGCTCCGCGACCTCGATCATATTCGCGACCGTTTCCCCATTCTCTTCTTTTTTTCCCCTCTTTTTTTCCTTCCCAACCCTGCATCTACTCTTAGCCCTCGGCCATGTATGTCGTTGTTACTTACCTTTTTTTTTTTTTTTTTACTAACTCTACTTCCTTCAAATGCGCCCGCACCTGGGCGCCAACAATGCCAGGTTCGGGCGATCGTTGACAGTTGCTGCCCGTTTCTAACCACGAACGGTTGCAACTGTTTAATACCACGACATCTAGGAGGGGGAAAAAAAAAAAGAACTTACAAAGAAAAGGAGGAAATAAACTCGCCTGAAGCGTGTGCAGAGAGTCTTTTGTAACCGTCCCCGCACGTAGCCGCCTAGCATTGCAGATTCATTCGGTTTTTGCCCATCCATTGATGGGCTGTCAGGGCACAGCCCCCTGATGAGTTGGTGAAAGACTGACGAAACAGTTTGGCACAGTCACGTTGTCGCGCGCGGCGGTCCCATACCCAGATGCAAAGTAAGTTTTGTGTCGGACCTCACGGTCGTGTCGTGAGGTCCGTGTCACGCAGGAGTTTCTTTGTCATTTTACGCAATACCAACTCCGACCGTGCACGCGTGCTATACCTCTCGCGACTCCCTACGATAGGTTAGGGATCCCGCGAGGTACAACATTACCTCCACCTGCGGGAGCTGTCACCATCCCTTAGGTGGGCGTATCCCTGATGAGCTACTGACCCACATACGAAAGCTTTTACATGCAATCGTAGAGGTAGGTCAGCCGATGGCGTTTTCTCGATCGCCGTAGCATAGACATACGCGCGGTAGAACGCCTGAAGACTGACCCGTGTGTCGTGCCCCGAGGTGCTAACTCCCCGGATCGACTATCTAATCAGGTCGACTTTCTCGGACAGTCTTCCACGCTTAGCTAACTATGACAATGACTCTATGTTTATTCTGTTAACCATATGAGAAGGCTAGAATCAGGCCCCTTTGTAATCTCTCATTCCTCTCAAACAAAAACCTGGACAGAGGACTCTCTAAGCTTCGACCAGCTACGACCTCATTCACAGGTATATATATATATAAATATGTATATAAGTCAGGGGAGCTGAATGAGCGGTGGACCTCACTTTCACAATTGTTGTGCCCTTGTCTGAATATCCCAAGATGATCTCAAATTCAGAAGACAGTTCAATGCCCAACACCTGCGCAGACGCAAGAAACCACATACAAGCATACAAATGCAGACACAGAATGCGCTACAAGCGTCAACCTTTAACTCATTCATAGCAAGTCACTCACGCCCCAAAAGAATCTTAACGTCTTTTCTTCGACGTTGGGATCTAGAACCCTGTAGACACAACACAGTCCGAAAGAATCTTAACGTCTTTTCTTCGACGTTGGGATCTAGAAGATCTCTTTTAGCCTTGTGACCCAGTGTTTGGTGCTCACCGTCGACTTTCTGCCTAACTTCTACCCTCACTATCAATTCGCTCGCCTGATTGGTCTAGGTAATGAACAAAATTCATTCCCAGCTTGTTTGTCCCAATGATTCTACTATGTTTCTTCCCTCTTAAAAGTTAGTTATGAGCCCCATGTCCCTAATGACCTCAAGCAGTACCATTCATTCAATTCAGAAAAGAAATCACATGATAGAGATCAATTCAGAATTTCAAAGGTCGATAAGTCTCTCTGAGTCAAGATCTCACTTATCCTTTCCTCACTGGAATCAACGAGTTAGTAATGGGTTGAATTAGTTATATGGAAACACGCATCTGGCAGCGGATTGATCAAGATACATTCAACTTTGTCGGTATCTGGCGTAGAGAGTATAAGTTATTATGGCGATGAGGCAGGCTTCATAGAGTATCGCTCCTCTAGATCGCCTAGTATATATATAGATAGATATGTGGTGATGAGGGAGACTTCATAGAGCCTCGCTCCTCTCGATCGCCTAATATATGTATAAAGATATGGCGATGAGGCAGACTTCATAGAGTCTCGCTCCTCTCGATCGCCTAGTATATACATATATAGATATGAAGATGAGGCAGGCTTCATAGAGCCTCGCTCCTCTCGATCGCCTAGTTTATATATATAGATATGGCGATGAGGCAAGCTTCATAGAGCCTCGCTCCT